TAATTTTTTTAAAAATCTTTTCAAATTTTCTAGAATACAAAATAAAACATTTTTGTATAGATGTTAATATGCATAACATAATCAAAGACATTGTATATTATAATAAAAGAAAAGAAGAGAATTTTAAAAAATACTATTATAAAATTTCTAAAAACATTAAAAAGCTTTAAAAATTTCAAAAAACATGATAACACCGTTGAAAATTAGATGAGCATATGTGACGATACTTTGACCCGTAAAAAATTAGTACAGCATATTAAAATTAGTTAAAAATTAATTTAGTCTCGTTAACGTTATTAATCATGTCTCGTTAACGTTAAAAATTAGTTGAGCATAGCGTTAAAAAATAGTCAAGCATAAACGTTAAAAATTAGTTTATGTCTCGAGATACTTACGTTATTTACGTTATCGAGATATTTACGTTATTAATGTCCTTGTTTATAAGTTAAGTCTGTGAATTAAAGAGATAACTTTCTTTCTAATAGAAAAAAGATTTTTGATGCAAAATTGATTTTTATTTAAAAATAACGATGCAATAATAAGCTGCAGATCTGAAAAAAAAAATTAGTAGAAACATAATTTTTACGTTTTCTCTATAGAGACTTATAGAAGTTATAAAATATTAAACATATGCCGTTAACTCAAAACAAAAACTTTTAAGTTTTTCTCCTTTTTAAAAATTATAAAAATAAGTCATCTCATGTTTTTGGAGCTTTTTATGCCAATGGTAACTATTAACATACTTCAAGTAAGTATTCTAAAATTATTTAGACTTGTACAAGTATTCAATCCGTTGATAAATAGCAATGTATACCGAAACGTTTAGAGATTTTAAAGTTATTTATAATAGAATGTTTTTATATACAGCTTTAAAAAGTAAACAATAGGTAGAGTTTTCCTTTATGTATATAGTTAATTTTCTATCTCTTAATAAAAAACATTTAACTAATCATTAAATATAGAAAAGGTTGGTGTGGAATAAATTCCTAAGACCCGTATTTTACGGGTCATGACACCTATTAATTAAATTATTAACAAAATAGTTAAAGCTAAGTATTTTTGACCGATACTAATAAAATGAGATTTTCATTTGGTTTACATGTTCATTTGATCTATATTTATCATGAAAAGACACATTTCTGAATATAACTTTGACGTCTTTTAAACGTTCCACGCTGACCAAAAAAATTATTTTGGTTCTAATAAGGTCTAGGACGTTTAGAATGTCAACTGAACGTATATTGTACGCTTTTTGTTTGCTTTTTGTACGTTTTTGTTTGCTCGGTAGTTAGTAACTTTAATAAAGTTAATTCAGAAACAATATAAAAAGCTTTTGTCATAAAATAACAAGTCAGTAATTTTGCTTTTAGTTTTATCTAAATCTAAATTTTTCTGAGCATTAAATATTTTAGCCAGAATTTTTTCTTTGTTGCTACAGTACTAAGACTTTAATTAAAATACTAAATTATTTCTTTCACTTTAGTACTAAGAATGATACTATAATTAGTACACTTAATTTATCCAACATACTGATATCAGTTTATCTTAAAAATTATTGTAATGATATTTTTTCTTTGATATTTTGCTAATATTGATTGACAAGCATCTTTTAAAAATATTCGTGACTCATTTTTCTAGAACATTTTTGCTTACTTCAAAATCATTTTCTTCTAAAACAAAAGGAACAATACTTGAATTAAACAAGCATGACAGACGTAAATCCTTGCGGTCTCTGTGGTCGATTTTGTATTCTAAGATCAACATAATTATTATAAGTTTTATTATGATTATTAATAACCTTATTAATAATCACGCCAGGTGACTTAAGTGCGAAGCAGTCACAAAACCTGGCTGCACTTCAGCCAGGTTTTGTGACTGCTTCGCACTTAAGTCAGTTTGCACTAATGCCAAATCGTTATGCCAACGTTTGCAAATTGTTTTGGCGCACTTATACCTATTTGCACTTATGCCATATTGCAATTATGTCCGTTTTTGCAACTGCTTTGCACATAAGCCAGTTCGCACTTATGAAGTTTGCGCTTATTCAACCATCCCTTTTATATTTTTTATTAATAATACAATTACAACTGTGAATTTATATTTTGCCTGTATTCTCACCTTAACATAGTCAAAGAAAAATAATTTGAATTTCTAACTTTTGCAGAAATTTGAAAGGAGTTATTATTATTATTATTATTGTTATTGTTGTTGTTACAACTACTATTATTATTATTATTGTTATTATTGTTATTGTTGCTGTTACATCTACTATTATTATTATTATTATTATTAATATTACAGTTGTAGCCAAAAAATAGGGATACAATATATACATACCATCGGAGTCGGAGTTGCGACAATTTAAGCGGAGTCGGAGTCGGAGTCGCTAAAAAAAATCGCGACTCCGACTCCTAAAGTAAAATTTCTCGGTATTGCACATGCAATTACAAATCATTCAATTAACCTTATGTTCATACTAAACCTCAAAGAACGTTTCATTAATTTGTCAAAAATAAAATAAAATTAACTTATCGCGTAATATTTTTTAAAGAATCCAAAGAATTTTTCAAAAATTTTGCTTTGGAGTTGGATTCGGAGTCGGAGTTGTACTCAAAAAATTTCAACAACTGTAGTCGGAGTCGGAGTCGTTACTTTTTTTTACGACTCCACTCCCCTGATACATACAAAATACACATACAGCGAGCAGGGAAGACACTCTGTTATAAACAACCAGTTTTATAAATACTCGATCCTAATTTTGTCCTCAACCACCCAGCGGGCATTTATTGTGAAGAGTTACGTCCTAACTGTATTATAAATATCTATTAAATGTTTGCTAAACATTCTAACGTAAAGAATGTTTAAAAGACGTTTAAAAGACATTTAGAACGTAAGTTTTGAAAATAAAATGCCCGAATGGCAGTGGTCTAGTCTATTTTTAAAAGAAATTGCAATTGAGTAAAAATTACTTGCTCGGCAGTTTGTTTCAGTATTTTTCTGATCTATTATATAGTTGGTTATGTCTTGGAATACAGTTTGGAACATATTCACACCTTATTTTTAGATGGCGACCACGTGACAAAGAGTAAATAAGTTATGGTTGATATATATTATTAATTATATCAAATCGATGTATTAGTTAAAAATGTGGATAAGATTGCATCTTAGGCGCCGAAACATAAGTTATGGTAGATTTAGTTTTTCATAGTATAGAAGATTGCTCAAGCTTGAAGCCTATTTTGTTGCTTGACGTTGAAATGATTCGACCAGAGCTATGCCAATTTTTAAATACGGGGCACAAACAAACACTGCATATTCAAGGTGTGGTCTTTAAATACTTTATATAATTTAAGAGCCAATTTTTCATCAATGATCGTGAATGTCTTTTTTAGCATACTAAGAATTTATAAAGATTTGGAGTAAATCTGTTTTGCATTAGCAATTATTAAAAAATTTTATTACAATTAAGAATTTAGTTTTATCTCAAATAAAAAAAATTTGTATTAAAAATTTTTTTCATATAGGTTTAAAAAGTAAACAATAAGTATAGTTTTTTCTATAAGTATATAGTTATTTTTCAATTTTTGTATCTTTTACTAAAAACTATTGAAGTAAGGATTAAATACAGAAAAGGTCTGTGCCGAACAAATTCTCAAGACCCGTATAAAACGTTATTAAACGTTCCACACTGATCAAAAAAATTATTTTGGTTCCAATAAGGTCTGGGACGTTCAGAATGTCAACTGAACGTACATTGTACGCTTTTTGTACGTTTTTGTTCGCTCTGTAGTTAGTAACTTTAATAAAGTTATTTCAGGAATAATAAAAATAAGCTTTTGTCATAAAAATAACAAGTCAGTAATTTTGTTTTTAGTTTTATCTAAATATGAAGTTTTTAAAACGTTAATATTTTAGCGCCAGATTTTTTTTTTTTTTTGCTTTTTTTTTAAATAAAAAACTGAATAATTTTTTTCTCTTAAGTACTAAGAATGTTACTATAATTAGTACACTTAATTTATGCAACATACTGATATCAGTTTATCCATTTATTGCAATGATAATTTTTTTTTGATATTTTGCTATTATTGATTGACAAGCATCTTTTAAAAATATTCGTGACTCATTTAGTTTTACCTCAAAAAAGATAATAATAGCAACGCATTTCGAATTCAAAAAACAACTTTGTTTGGAACAATATGAACAATACTTTTATATAAAAAGGATTTTGTTTGAGTGACAGATGCAATTCCAGGCGGTCTCTTTAATAAATATAGATATTAGGCTCAACATGTTTAACAATGTAGGAGAGACGCCACAAATCAAGACACGATATAAGAAACTTGAACATAAATGTTCAATTAGACACTCACCTCATACCTCTTAATAATGAGAATTTTTATTTCCATACAGCAAATAAAAGTAATCAAACTTGTATTAAAGTAAATGGGTTTTGGACAAAAAAGAGACAAGCATTCAATTGAAATGATATGAATAAAAACAAAGTTATCTTTCTTCGCTCAATTATTCTTAGTTTAAGACGATCCAGAACACCATGGGCTAGAACAAATTGCTTCAAAATTGGAGTTGATTTTAAGCTGGATAATATAGAAGTCAAAACTAAAAAATTTATTATCTTTTTTAAGTTTTTTTTTTTTTTTTACATAATTTGTTTTAATTGTTTTTTACATAATTTGTTTATATTGATTTTTTACATAATTTGTTTATACTAAAATATTATTGTTGTTATATTAAAATGCTTGTAAAATAAAAATAATAACTTATATGTAATAGGAAAATACTAATGAATCATAATGTTGAAATAGAAACAAGTTACTAGTTTATTTGTATCTAGCTAATACATGTTTTCCTAAATATTTGGTTAGTTAAGTTATAAACTTTTCGTTTACTGAATTTATTACACAAACACACACACACGCACACATGCACACACACACGCCTTATATTTAAACTGTATTTTTACCCTAACACAGTAAAGACAGAGAGGGAAAAATCTGTATTTTTAACTTTTGCAGCAACTAAAAAAGGAAATGAAATTGGTTTTAGTTTACAGCATTTTCGCTCTTACAACTTTCATCATTTATAATGCAAAAGAAATAAAGAACGACATTTTTAAATGTAAATAATTTTAACGTTTTTATTTATTTGCAACTTTTATCTAAACACAATAATTCTAAGTGTTTCATATAAGTTATGCCATACATAACGCAAGAACTTTTACATAAAAGCAAGCATCTTTTAGAACAGCAAGTATTTTAACTTAAATGCTTATTTAAAACATTAAATAAAAATAAATATAAAAAAATGCATAAAATGTTTATTTTTTTTGTTTGAAATTAGATCTCTTAACGTCATTAATTATATATATAAAAAAACTATTTAGAAAACAAAGTTAAAATAATCAAAATTTATTATATAGAAAATAGTTTTATTTAAAAATCACAAAAAACGAAACAATATTATTATATAATAGATACTATCAATTGTACCGCTTTTAACTAAATTTTTTACATTTTACTTTTTCAAATTTAGTTTACGAGAAAACAATACATTAAATGGAGTTTTTTGATTAAAAGAATTATTATATATTTTTAAAAATATTTTTAAAAGTTAAAATTTCCTCATCTTACCCCAGTTCTTTAGATCAGAAGCTTGTTCAATTTTCATTGTTTTTCAATAGCAATGTATGCGAAAAACACAAACTAAACAACATGTTTCTATTATATAATACATTTTAATTATCACTATTATTACATTAGGTAATGACGAAGAGTGCCATTTAAATCCAGAATGTTGCAAGATACGTACAAAAAAATTAACAGATCAACTTAATGTCATTAATAGAAAAACAATAGGCGGAGTCAAGAAAGAGAAAATGAAGAGAAGTGCAGCAGTATTTTGTAAGTTAACTCACATTAAATTTTTATCATATTTTGCAGTGCCTTATAAAAGAAAAGGGTAGCATAAATAACACTTGATTCTTATGTGTTTAACATTATTGATGTTATTAATTACTTTAAAAAAAAACGTTTTTTAATAAAGTGAAACTGTAGCACTTTCATCACAAATTTAAAACGTAAAGTTTAAGATGCATGACTTGCAGCAAAAAAAAATTTAAACCTTGCATTTCTTTCTTATAATATATATATATAAATATATATATATATATATATATATACATATATATATATATATATATATATATATATATATATATATATATATATATATATATATATATATATATATATATATATATATATATATATATATACATATATATGTATATCGTTTACAGATTAGTCAATGCTAACTTTATTTTTGAAAAAAAGAAAGAAAAAAAAATTATAACTTAAGGCTCTGCGAGGAAAAACTTATAATCTTTTTTGTTTTGTTTATTGGTAAAATTTAGGGTTATGTGATTTATGAAAGATCCCATAATTGTAAAGATTAAATTCATGCATAAAAAAGTAGTTTATTGGATATCTCAATTTGCAATTTTTCTTTTCAAAACATAAAATTCATCTGAACTTTAACGTTATTTAAAACTTTCTTCTGGATCGTTAGAGAATTGTGCAGCTTTATCTACTAACATGTTTTTTATCTTAACAAGATGGAATATAACTTTTCTTTAAAACTCTTAAAAGAAAAGGATATAAGTGAAGCTATATAAATAATATTTAAAGTAGTAAATAGTAAATAGTACTTTCAATATGTGATTGGAAATAGGTGGATTTAAACTCAATAATGCAAAAAATCTCAAATTTTATGCTTAACCTTAAAAAAAGATATTAACAAGTAAAGTTAAAGAGTTTTATGAGGCTTTTGTCTAATGCTATTAACTGTAAAGAATCACTACCTATGACAAAGTAAAGTTAAAAGAAATTATACATAAATATGTATAATACCAGTCTTTCTCAGGAAGACGTGCAATTGCAGGTAATTGTACGACTACGCAAAAAATAGTTTGTTTTAACAATTTGACCTCAGCTATTCAATTTTAGCATTATATATATATATATATATATATATATATATATATATATATATATATATATATATATATATATATATATATATATATATATATATATATATATATATTGGCGGGATAGCTCAGATGGTTAGAGCGTCAAAGGAAAAGTTGAAACCCGGATTGTTGAACGATACGAGTTCAAATCCCGCTACCGCCAACTCAGCGCTTGAGTAGTACTTCGGTACGCAAAAATGTTGGTCAATAACGGACGCTACTTTGGATTAGTCTTAATGACTATTTGTGGCTGTTCCTATGCTAAGCCAACAATATCTTCGGATATAAGAACATTGTATAGAAAAATATAGCATAAAAACTCAAATAAATAAATGAAAATATATATATATATATATATATATATATATATATATATATATATATATATATATATACATAT